AAGTTAAATATCCTGAAAAATAAATGGTTAAAATTAATATTCTTGAGAGTTACCTAAATGTTTTCAATATTTCTTAATATTTTTATCATGATAAAATTTTTAAAAAATTAAATTGGAAAACTAAAATTTCTTAAAATTCTATAGGCAAATAGTATTTTTTATGAAAATGTAATGGTGAAAATTAAAATTACATTGAATGGTTAAATTAAATGTAAATATAAGTATGGGTTATGTTAGGATGCTTACACTATGGATTAATTTATCATTGTACTCAACAAAATTTGGACAATTATATACCCTTATTTTGTACATGGACTTTTTTTTTAGTAAGGGTATTTTTGGTCATTGGGAGGGGTGTGATGTCATCTATATGGGTTGTGACATCTCCCACATGGAGCATTAAATGCCACTAGTGCACTCTATGTGGGTGATGTCACACCTAATGTGGATGATGTCACACCCCTCCTATTGACCAAAAATACCCTTTTTAAAAAAATGCTCCATGTACAAAACTAGATTATAAAAGTGTCCAAAATTGTTGAGTAGAATGATAAATTACTCCATAGTGTGAGCACCCTAACATGACCCTATAAGTGTTCGTGGCCAAACTTTGCCCAAATGATAGAAAATATATAAAACAATCGCATAAATTCCTTATTTTTTTAAGAAACACTGGCTCGACAGGGTTTTAATGAATTCAATAGGATACAATACTACGTTCTAACGGATTGCTAGCCTCTCTTCCGCTGTAAGATGTGATAATGGGACAGTTGAGAAATTGCTTACGAATTGTTTGAAGATAAATTGCTCTTACACTTGTTTTTGATAAAATATGGGACCGCCTGCTTTGTCACGTGCAAGGTTTCAACTAACCTAGCATATTGAAATTTAACAGAAGTCCAATAGTAAGTAAATAGATTGAAGAGACTCTCTTTGATTTAGTATTGTAGAGAGATAAAAGGTGATTAGGGGAGTGATTGAAGAGAAAGGGAGAAGTGGTGACCCACTGGTGGGTCTTAATGGGGTTGAGAGTCTTGAGATTTGAGAAAAAAATGAGGGATAATGTGTGACTGGTGCGAGTGGGGTCACATGTGTGAGTGGCAGTCATAATGTGTGACTTAGGATGAAATAACTTAGGGAATATATGAAGTTGTGAACCTAGGCAAAGAGGGAGAAGTGTGCAAAAATAAATGTACAGTAAGTAAAAGAAACTATTACAAAATGATGCGAAAAGTGTGGTCCCTGTGGTTCACATTATTTTATTATAAAAGATAGAGAGAGACAGAGCATTAGAGCAAGCTAGAGAGAGTGAGAGAAGCTAGAGTGAGAGACAGGCCCTTGCCCTTATCTTTCTATGTTGTTCTCTCTCTAACTTCTCCCTCTCTCTAAGGGGGAGAGAGAGAAGGCCAAGGGCCCTGCTGCCCTTGACAGAGAGAGAATGGCAAGGGCCTTATTTCTCTCTCTCTCTCGAGAGTGATTTACCCTTACTTGAGTCCTAAGAGCAGTGAAAGAGAGATTGCAACTTGCAAGCTAGATGATAAAACTAGAGAGCGGCAAGGGTTTTTATAGACCCTTGCGGCCTCATATAACAGAAGACGTCTATTATTGGAGGCGCCAATAACGGAGCTCAGGGATTCCCTGCAAAAATGGCAGGGATGCGTTGCTCTAATTCAAATACCTTTAATTCAAAATTTGAATTACAAATTATAAAACCGTGTGTCATTAAAAATAAATGAAAAAAACAGGTGGAAATCGGTCAGTTTTGATTCAAACCGCTTGGCTTATGTACCACTTCACCAGTTTGGGAAAAAAGATCAACCGGTTTTGGTCTGGTTAGTTGCCAACGCTCTGGGTGGACCCTCGAAACTGGTACTAACCGGGCTCAGCTAGGGCCCGAGTTCGAGTAAACCAGCCGGTTCCGGTTCAGACCAGCTGGTTGTTCGAACATTGCTACAATGGGGCCATCTTATAAGAAACCCATGTCTTGTAGAACATCCTCTATGTTGGTTTGGCCTGGTCTATACGCCGAATTTGATTAGAGTTTAGTGAGAAATAAGGCTTCACATCCAAATAAAAGGAGTTGTCTTCGCTTGCCTGAAGGAGCCTCCTTTTGTTGTTTTCTTTTTCTTTTCTGCTGATTTGGGGGGGGGGGGAGAGGGGGGGGGTTGGTTTAGAGGGAGTCATCCCTCTGGCACGGAGGTACAACAGTGGGAGCAGCCGAAAAACCAAAGAAGGGGTCGAGGATGTTTGGGCTGCACTTACCGAGAGGGGGTCAACCAATGTTCGAAAAATCAGTGTTGTCTGATTCAAAACCGGTTGGTTTACTCGGACTCGGCCATTGATTGAGCTCGGTTAGTATTCGTTCCGGGGGTCCACCTCTGGGGTTAGACTCCCCCACCTAACCAAAACAAAACCATCCATTTTTCTTTTGTCTTTCAAATCGGCTGAGTGGTAATAAACCAGGCAGTGTGAATTGGAACTGGCTGATTTAACGTAAACCGACTGGTTTCCACCCTTTCCTTTTTTTTTCTTAAATGACACATATGGTTTTTTAATTTGAAATTCAAATTTGTAATTCAAAATTTGAATGAAAGGGATTTCAATTAAAAGTAAGGCGTCCCTGCCATTTTTGCAGGGAATCCCTGAGCTTCATTATTGGAGCCTCTAAGTGTGAGGCCACAAGGGTCTATAAAAACCCTTGTTGCTCTCTAGTTCTATCATCTAGCTTGTGAGTTGTGATCACTCTTTCACTGCTCTTAGAACTCAGGTAAGGGTAATTCTCTCTCTCTCGCTCTCTCTCTCTCTCTCTCTCTTTCACTCTCCCCCTCAAGGGCAATAGGACCCTTGCCCTTCTCTCTCTCTGTCAAGGGCAATAGGGCCCGTGGCCCTCTCTCTGGGAGAGAGAATGTTATAGATTGAGAAGGGTAGGGTCCTGTCTCTCTTTATCTTCCCCTCCCTTTCTAGCTCGCTCTATCTCTCTCTTTCTTTTACAATAAAATTGTGTCGGCCACACATACCACACTTTTCACATCTTTTTGCAATAGTTTCTTTTAGTTACTGTTCATTTATTTTTGTACGCTTCTTTTTATTTGCCTAAGTTCTCAATTTCATGTATTCTCGAAGTTACTTCATCGTACGTCACACATTGTGATTCACACTCACACTCGTGACCCCACTCACACTCGTCACGCCTTATCCCTCACTTTTTCTTTAATCTCAAGACTCTCAACCCCATTAGAACCCACCAGTGGGCCACGACTTCTCACTGTCTCTTCACACTCCCCTAATCCCTTTGTATCTTTCTACAATTTTAAATTAAAGAATAAATTTCTTTAATATTTTTACTTATTATTGAACTTTTATTAAATTTCAATATACCAGGTTAGTTGACACCTTGCACGTGAAAAAGTAGGCTGCCTTATATTTTATTAAAAACAATTGTAAGAGCAATTTATTATCAAACAATTTGTAAGAACTTTCTCAAGAATCCCATTATCACATCTCATAGTCGAAGAGAGGCTAGCACTCAGTTAGAGCAAAATATTGTGGCATACTTTATCTGTTCAAACCCCCTAGAAAGCACGAGTTTCTTAAAAAATAAGAAATTTATATGGGATTATTTTTTTATATGTTCTATCATTTTGGCAAAGATTGGAAAGTGTTTCGGCCATGAATACTTATTTTTACATTTAAACCATTCAATGTAATTTTAATTTTAACTATTAAATTTTCATACAAATTACTATTTACCTATAAAATTTTAACAAATTTTAGTTTTTTACAATTATTATTATTATTAAAATTTTATCATGGCAAAAATATTAAGAAATATCGAAAGAAGTTTCGGTAATTTTAAGGTCTATTAATTTGAATTATTTATTTTTCTTGATATTTAACTTTTCAATAAATTTTCAGGAAATTTTATCATGGTGATAATGTTGTGAATTCTCTTATGTTTGGACTTATGTCCCATGATATTTGAAATTATTGATACTCCTTTTTAAAAATTTTAACTTGGGGTCTGGTGAGAATGGAACTTAAAACGTCATGTTGTGGCACCTGCCATTCTGCCAACCTGCGACTTTTACCCATTCTCTGAAAGTGTTGATATTCCTGCTCAAATATGTTCATAGTACTTGCTTTTTAATCTTTCAGCTACTTCTCGTCTTCTTGTGTTCTGATCACATTGTGACAAACTTGGGTGGGTGGAAAGGGTAGGTGAATTTTCTTTGAAAACCATTTCCTCTGACGATAGTTTGAGCACTTCTGGCTGTGCGCCTTTTTAGTAGGTCAAACTGTTGTTTAAACATGCAACTAGGCTTTTAGATGGAGGGATCCATGGTACTGGTATAGATCATGGAGTGCACCTAGAAGCCTAGGAGTTATGCTTGTGGCATACCTTGTATTGCTTTTAACATTCATTTTAAAGATTCGCAAGATCACAAGTTTTTTTTTCTATTCCACGTGTTTGAACAGATTGTCCATTTGCTTGTTTGATTTCAAACATATTATGCTTGTGTGTGCATTTTTGTGTCCAGTAACATAGATGTATCTGATATACTCGAGGTATACTTTTGTCCACTCTTTTCTTATCTTATCATGGAAATTATGGTTTATGCGTTTCATCACACCTTACATAATAGGATCATGTTTGTGTTTAATTTCTGTTTTATGATTGGCCTATAAATTGACAACATATTGTATGTGAAATTAAATAGATGTTTGATTAATATTAGAAAACCTTGCTCATGAGGTTTCTATGATAATGAAACCGTGCTCTTGTGAGACAGGTTTTTCGTAACAAAATTTTTTCTTTGGTTACGTTATTGTAAATCTTGTTGGCTAACATGTACAGCTTTTAAAATGTCTATGGTTCTCAATGCATATTTGGGAATGATATCCTGAAATTATCTCATGGTTCTTTACAATAAATTGGAAATAACAGATCTGCTCTAACTTGAACTTGCTGGCTTCTAATATTTGAAAATAATTGCTTCTAGGGACTTGGCATCAAATAGCCTTCAAGGACGTGTTCCTACAATCCTAACAGAGCTGGATGAGCTGAAGAAACTGTATGAGTCACAATTGTTATTGCTTAAATTTTCAAGTCTTTCGACTCTTAAGAAAACATACACTTTGTACTTTCCATTTCTAATTAGCCTAACTCCTTTCCTGCTTTTCAGGAATCTGAGCCATAATCAACTCAGTGGAACCATCCCAGAGTTTCCATGTTCATCTATGTTAACATCAGTGTATGAACTAGTTTTTATAGCTGAGTTCTAAACAAAATGCTTCAACTTATCACTCTTCGATTGTGTTGATTGATATTTTAGCGTGTGTGAACCAATAAAAAGCCTCAACATTGAATATTTAATCAGCTGGTGAAATTTTCTTGTTGTCCTTTATTCTGGTTGATTCCTTTCCATTGGTAGAGTATCTTTGTAGATGCAATTTGTCATGACATTTTTTTGCAGGTATTTATTTCTATCTTTTCTCGCTTGGCTATGGGGTTTGTATGGGTACCTAGTGAAATTTTATTGTTTTCCTTTATGCTATTTGTTTTTTTTCCATTTGTGGATTATCTTTGTAGGTGCAATTTTTTGTTCTTTTGTTTCACTAGGCTTCAAGGGATTTGTATGAGTACCCACCATCATCTGAGCCTTATACCGACTACGTGGGGTCGCTTGCACGAATCTAGTTCCGCCACTTTGCTCTATCAAGGGCCATACCCTCAATCAAACTATAGGTCACTATATCTCTTCTCACTACTTCCATCCATGTCCTTTTGGGTCTTCCTTTTACCCTTTTACAGTCTTCCACATATTCCAAATCGCCTCCTCAAATCGGTATTTCTAGGTCGACATTGCACATGGCCAGACCACCTAAATCTACTTTCATTCATCTGCCTATTAGAGCCACCCTTAAGTTCCCTTTGATGTACGGGGGTACCCACCAGTTATATTAAATTCAAAGAATATGTACTATATGTCAATGACTGTAAACTTTGTGGTTTGTAGTCCAATTTGGAGTAAAGTACAAACGCTCCTTAGTCTATACTCTAATTTGAGAAATTCCATAATGGGCTACTTATTTACATTGCGTTTGCATTTTATACTTCTTTTCTTCTTGAGCTATTTCTTTGTGGCCATTCTTTCTCATGCAACTTCCCTTTGCCTTAATTTTGACAATCTTTCTTGATACCACTATTCCCCTATCGTTGTATCATTTACCTTGCTTAGTGTTTCAAAAAGCGTCAGTTAGTGCCTAGGCAACCGGGGGCTCCAGGCCGCCCAGCATCTAAGTGGGTGCCCAGCGTCTAAGTGGGCGCCCAAAACCTGGGCGGCCCAGTAGAAAAAAAAAATTGTGGGGTTTTTCTCTCTCTAAAATAGGCTCTAATGGGTTTTAGGTTTCAAATGAACCTAAAACCCACAATTTTGCTCCTTTAGTATTAAAAAAATTATAAAAAATGCACTCAACAAAGGGCATTTCTACCCTCGGCAGGGTGCAGGCCTTGGGCGGCCGTCTAGGTGTCGCTTAGGCGGGTTCAGGCGGCCACCTGGGTGGGCGCGTAGGGATATCCATCTAATTTGGCCATCTAGGCTTGGATGATGCGCTCAAGCCTTTTGGGACTGCCTAGGCGTCCGCCCATGCGCTAGGCGGTCTGCGTTTTAAATCACTGCTTATGCTCTGTCTTGCTCTTTGCCTCCTTTCCTCCCTTTTTTGGTTTGTAAAGGATTTTCTTTAATAGTTTGCGGATGGTGGTTGCGTGTTGTAGAGTTGCTCCCACTTTCTGGGAGTTTTCCTTTGTTTATACATCCTGGTAGCACGTATTTTTATTGCTACCGGTAGCACTACGTTCTACTAAGCTACCTGCATCACGCTGCGCATTTTTGTAGACTGCGGGGTGCACCCTTTCTATTTGTATAGCACACTCTTCTGATCCTTTAGTGCTTGGCAGTATTATACACTTTATTTGCTTTGCTCTAGGTAGCATACTATTTATTTGGTATAATATGGACCTTCCAGGAATTTTCTGGGAGCTTTGAGCTTGGAAGGGATTTCTGTGTATATTTGGGGCTTAGTTGGGTTTTTCAAAATTTGGACTCTGCCAAAGAAGGGCACAGAACTGCACGTCATTCTGGTTGGTGATGGCAATTGGGGAGCTTCTTTTGAATTTGAGCAAGCCAAATGGGAGACTCAGATCTATATCTGAGTCTGGTGGGATCTGTAGCTCCTCCTCTGTTGTCCCAACCTTCTGCTAAATTTCATCCTTGAAGACCTGCAACAGCTTCAAATCTTGAACCCAAATGTATTTGTTTTCTTGTGGAACCATGTAGAATCTTGAGCATGCATAGCGCAATGGGGGAAAACAGAGGTCTGAACAGGGTGGTTTCTTTGTGGCTGCTTGGATCTGTTTTTTGAAGAAAATACCATCCTGGTTTCTGACCATTGCTGGGTTGGCTAATGGTTTTTCTCATCTGATTGTTTTCTGTTTGCACTCTTCCCCATCTCCTCTTCAGTTTGCTATTTATTTGCTCAACATGAGGAAAAATCATCGTTAAACACACAAAGGGCACACAAATGAGACACTCGATTATACTCAAATCTGTTGCAAGAACTGATCACCATCAATTTTATTTACCCATACCTCAGAGGGGAGTCCAAAGCCTGGTTCGACTTCAACACATATGTCTACACAGTTGATATTTTGGCAGTCTTGGATAGTAGTGACCAGGTTTCTGACGGATGCGGCCTATAGCCAATAAGGTTGGAAGACCATAGATGGTCAAGGAGATTGAGCAGTCTTACCCATATTGAGATAGAATTGATGGAAGTTATTGGGAGTGGTTCCTTCAGGTTGAATGTTCCTATAAATTTCATTTATATTACCTGGACAAACCGTAGCCCCTCTTAAGCTCTCTATCCATATCTTCTCAAAGCTTTCCTATTTTCATTCATATTCCCCCAACAAACCATAGTCCCTCCTCAAGCTCTCTATCTATGTCTTCTCAAAGCTGATGTCTGAAGATGACATGCATATCTTATTTCCTTTGGCAATGATATCCAATTTCTTGTTTATCTTTCAAATGCACTGATTATTCTTTGAGATAAGTAGGACCATCGAGGTCTTCCTGTAGAAAGTCCTGATGATGGATGCTTCCCATATTCTCAAGCTTTATTGAGAAACCATGAGGTTCCTACAATGTCAAGTCTACTTGGAATAGTTTGTTGAGGGAATCACAATAGATTGGAGCCTGTCTAGACAATTTCTGAAAATTACTATGCCTTTTTCCATGTAGTTTCTTGTTGCCGCACAGATATCCCTTGTTAACCCTCCCCGTCTGGTGGTTTGGTCTATTTAAGTTCTGGGTTGATGGTCATTTGTCCATTTTTTGTTGTTGTCAATGGTGGAGGGTTTGGGTAAGGGGGTCACAAGGGTGAGGGAGATTGAGGAGGAGAAGCGGATGGATGTTCAAGGAGGGGGATGGCCACAAGGGTGGGGCAGGTTGAGGAGGAGGAGAGGATGGATGTTCAAGGAGTGGGGATGGGTGGGGATTTGGGGTGGGAGGGGGGACGGAAGGGAACCCATCTTCCCCAAGTACCTCCATCTAATCATTCCAAGAGAGTAACATTTCACGAGTATTTCTCATAAGTAACAATATTACATACTTCGGTTACCAGAAATTATCACAATATTCCAGGATAAGAATATCAGAATTATGGTGCTCGGAGCCTAAAACTTTTGTTGTCCTTTATATTTTTAAAGCTATATTAATAGTGTACTGAGGATTAATTTGGTGGCTTGGCTTTAATTCAATTTGTCATGATGTTAACCATTTTACCTTCCTGCACGCAGGGATATCCGGTATAATGAATTTACAGGGGCTATTCCACAATCTTTTACCTGTCTTCCACATTTGTCAACTCTGTAAGATTTGAACTCTATGGTTCCTTGTGTTCCTTTTTTTTATTTGTTCACTTGTTACTTTCCACCACACATTCTAATAGTTATCAAAGTTAGTTCAAATATTCTTCTTTCTTTTTTTTATTTGTTCACGTGTTTTAACAGCATCCTTCATTACCTCCTTTGGAGGATATAATGTAATAATTTATAATAATCGGATCGTATTGAACCACATCGGATCTGTTTTAGCAATATTCATGAGACCTTTTTCAGGTTACTTGGATGTAACCCTGATCTGAGCTCTGACCTTCCTGCTGGTCTAAATCCAAATGTTGTGACAGGGTAAGTCTGCTTACGTTGTCAATGATGAGTCTACACTCATAAAGAAGTCTGTGGAAATTGCATTCATATGTTTTTTTTACTTAAATCTACAGCTCTGATGGTTGTGATACTCAAGATGAAATCAATGGACAAGCCCAACGAAATACTGTTTTTATAAGCAGTGTTGCAGGTGGATCTGTTGCTTTCACTGTTGCAATTGGAATAATCTTCACCTGCTTCTACAGGCGTGGGTTCCAGCGTCATAGAAGAAAACAGATTGCTAGCGGTGTGTTCCTTAACCTTTACATTTCCATGATTTATACAAGAATGAACGCTCGAAATTGTCAATTGGTAGAAGCATTTATATATTAGATGAAATTAATAGAATCATACATGCAGTCCCTTCCTACCTCTACCTTTTACCATCTAAATTGTTGAATCTTCCAAGAGTTATAGTGCTAAGATTTAGACTAGGTTACTATTGGAGAAAAGAAGAAAGACTAGCTTAAAGGAAAATCAAGGTAGGGATTAGTTTTATTGATAAAATTGACTGTTGTTGAGCATGTTATAGCCTTCTGACGTCTCATGCTGTCCGAGATTGTTAGAGTCCAAATAAAATTCAGATATGATATCAGGGTTTCGAGGCCTGGCTTCTGTTAGAACTGGCTGTAGCAAAAGCGAATTGAGCACTATTTCTACAGCTCATTATTTTTCTCATTCATGTACCACATGGAAATTCCTTAGCATAGAATCTTAATATAAATATATGAATATATGTAAGCATTTACGTATATGTATGAATGTCAGTGTTACATGTATTCATTCATATAATGGTCTAGAAACATCCCGATGCATGCAGTGCCTTCAATTCCAGTATCCGTGGATCTGGTTTCAAAGCCCATTCGGATTCAGCCCTTTTCTTTGGAGACCATTGAAGTCACCACATGTAAGTATATGACAATGATCGGGGAAGGTGGGTTTGGAGCAGTTTATCATGGTAATCTAAATGGTCAAGACATTGCTGTAAAGGTTCGTTCTGCCATTTCAACTCAGGGAACTCGGGAATTTGAGAATGAGGTATGCAATAAGTTGATCTTATTTCTTTTCCTTTTCTTGGCCTATGGTTGCATTCCTTTTCTTGTATATTTCCTGTTGTAATTTTATTTATTTATTTATTTATGTTTATTTTTTTAATGTTTTGCTCTTCAAGCAAGATAAATATCACTAGCAGAGAAGTTTACTGGTTATGATAGTTATTGGAAGATATTTTCAAAGCTTATATTCCCTATTTTCTGCAATTTCCAACTTGATAATTGTAAATGAATTTTCGAAGCAGCCTTTTTTTTTTTCTGGTTATGCCAAAACTTTTGCTAAGTTTTTCGGAGAATAATATGGCTACTCCAGCTTACCGAGGAAGAGAAAGGATATTCTAATTTTACTAGCTACTTCTAGACAATCTTTCCTTGGTCTTATCAGAACATATTTCATGTTGATTCATTTCATGAAGATATTCATTTACAAATTGGATGAATATATACCTTTTTCTTTTGTAATAATATATGCTGTGTATAGTTTTTGTGTCTGTCTATCGATAAGTTGCAAATGGGTAATTTATTGAATTAAAAAAATCAATCCATGGCCCAAATTGGTGAGAGTGGAAGTATGAACACCTGATCATGGCATGGCTTCCTGCTTATTATCCAATTTATCGCCGGCAAGTAAACCTTCTCTATTTGTTTATTTTTAAACTTTTATTTTTTAATTTGTGAACAGTTAAACTTTCTATCAGCCATCCAACATGAGAACCTGGTTCCTCTTCTTGGCTATTGCTGTGAGAATGACCAGCAAATTCTAGTATATCCTTTCATGTCAAATGGCTCTCTCCAAGATCGTCTCTATGGTACTCGTCTCCTCTTCAATATTATTGCCTAAGCTCAAAGCTCTAACTATTGGTGTCTTGTTACCTGAGTTTCTTCCTTTTTCTGTTCTTTCTTTGTCCGTCATTAACAGGGGATGCAGCCAAAAGAAAACCTCTGGACTGGCCAACCAGAATATCAATTGCTCTGGGTGCTGCTCGTGGTAGGTAAAATTTTAATAATGTATGGAAAAGTATACTGCAAACTAATGGACTATGACTTACTCAGTCACTGTTTGTCTAAATGTTGAATGGTGTATTGAAAGTGGGACCCATCAATGAGGTCTTGTCCTGCTCTGTTGAGTTCCACTTTCCGTCCACGCATCCTCATCATTATGTTGGACTACAATGACTCCAATGGTACTCTTTCTAGAACTTGGAATATCCAAAATGTGCCGCTTATTGTGAACTTGGCATAATCTATGAAGTTATAGTCTCAAGCGAGCCTTGTCGTGTCTGATTCAGGTCTACTCTATCTCCATACTTTTGCGGCTCGATGCATCATACACCGGGATGTTAAATCTAGTAACATTCTTTTGGATCATAGTATGTCAGCAAAGGTGGCAGATTTTGGCTTTTCGAAATATGCGCCCCAAGAAGGAGATAGTGGTGCCTCCTTGGAAGTACGCGGAACGGCTGGCTATCTGGACCCAGAGTGAGTGAGACTTGTTCCTTTACAATATGAATTGGTCAACAGGTTGTAATGCCCTAATCTGTGTAAAAGGGTGATAGATAGCGTTTGTCTTTCCAGAAATGGTAAAAAAAAAGATTTCCTTTTCAATGTGGCCATTATGATCCTGCAGTGAGAATACAATTGATTTTGAGTTTTCTTCCTTATTTGGGTTTTCTTTAGTGTTTGGGAAGTGATGTTGTGAAGTGCCTGATTCAATTCTGGGCCTATTACACCCCAGTGGGGCATAATTACTTTGCCATGTTTACTATTCCAGTTCAATTCTCATTTTGATCTTAAAAAGCTGGGGTTGAACTGATTGGGCAATTGGGGTGTGTTATGGTTTCACTTTTTCTGTTTCTGGGGCCGTCTGCTACATGAGCTAAGTTTTTGGGTTCTAGTTTCTCCACAATCATTAAAGAAATCTTTGGCGTAACTTGTGTTACTTTTTAGAAAAGGTTGTTACTATTCTGGAAACCCTCAAATCGATTATCTCGGCCTCAAGATTCATAGACATGAAAAAAGGGGATTTCTAGTCCTAAAAATAGTTGACTTTCTCAAAAAAGAGAAAAAGTTCATTTTTTTACACATAATCTAGATCGTCTATTTTCAAGATTTTCAAGTGTTTATAGATCTGCTTGATCGTCACCATTTCTGAAATTTTAAATTCATAATTGGGGAGCTACAATATATTTTCATATCATCGCAAGGCTCTGTGGCACCAAAACTGCATTTTCGGCATAGTTTTGAGATGCACCTTATTTCAATAGGATAAGGTTGACACCTTATACAAACCTCACCTATATATATATATATATATAGAGAGAGAGAGAGAGATATATATATATATATATAGAGAGAGAGAGAGAGAGAGAGAGAGAGAGAGAGAGAGAAGAGAGAGATAGTATACTAGTACGTACCGTACCTACCTACCACCTAGTGTAGTAGTACGAC